TTCCCAGCTGACAGCCTCTAACTTTCCCTGTTACAGAAGGATGATAGAGCCTGCGCTAAGCTTAACCAGCAAGGTTTTTACTTTGTCAATATGCAGCTACAAGGTTCAATTTTTCCCAAAGGCAATTCAGTTTCTCTGAACCCCAGTGGGCTGTTGGATCTATACATGCAGTTAGATATTTGCAGTTTTAAAGTGTGCCTCCCAACAGAATTGTGCTAACAGGGTCAGTAAACTTCAAATGCCTTGAATTCACAGTGGAAAGGAAGGGTACACAGTCTGAAAACTAAGCATAGAGTAAAAACATACTGTTTTCACTATTTTTGTGTGTGTGAGGATGTGTATACTACTGCCTAGGATTATTAGTAATTAGTAATCTAAAAAAGCTACCAGACATGACAGGGAGAACAAGTGAAATTTTCTAAGTGCTGCAAGTTTTTAATATTGGATTTAGTGTGCTGTACAACTGGATTGAGCAATGAACCATGAAAGCCATTACAGCACATTGGGAAGTTTCAAATGGAGCTGGTACTGAAAGAAAATCTGCAGTGTAATTTTACAGGAGATGACTTCTGGCTGTCTGCAAGGTTGTCCTCAAGGCTTTCTAAGAAATTAAGAAGAGGATTACATGAAGGAGATATGCCTTTTATAGATCTGCAACCATGTTCCCCTATGTATAAATGTATGTATTCATGCATCTATAGAATCTCAGAAAAATATTTTTTTTTCTTTTTCTGGTTACTTTGCTAAGAAGAATAGATCCAGGCAAGTGTAGTAGTTCTTGGACCTGCTCTATCACCATGAAGAAGCTGATATTTCTTATCCACAGAGATGTGAACTCCCATGGTTGAAGGCTGTGAATCAGTATACAAACCAAACTACTTTCCTAGCAAAACTGAGAGAAGAACAGCAGCTTATAACTTGGTTTCAGAAACTCCAGAGTGACATGAAGAGAGGGGGCCCATCATTCTCATAAGTGGCCTCTGAAACAATTTTACAGAGAGTCCAGAGAAGCCACTACTTCATTCATGGAGAATAGGTTGCACTTATAAGTGCATTGTGCCTAAATTGTAAGTAAGTGAACTGTGCACTTATCTATATATTCCAGCTCTGTGAAAGGCTTATAGGAGAGAACAAAAACGTACCTTGGAGAATAAATTTGTTGGATGAGAGGGAGAATTTGGGAGATAAATTTTGTACCAGTATTTACCACCTTTTTGCAGGAACCATGACATTATATCCACATTGGTATGGATAGATAAAGCCTTTGGTAATAGGAATTGGGTGACCATGTGCAGTGGAAAGAGTGCGTATTATTCCACTATTTAAATATGTTTTTTCAGAAAGTACCTGTGGGAGATAATAGATGGAAAAGTAACTTTGAAACGGTGCTATTGCTTTCAGTTTGTACTTTCTTGTGCTGAATGAGGATAAGATCAAGCACCCCATATCCACAAGTTGTTCGAATGGTTTAGAATGGCGTTTACTCTTACAGTTCTTATTTACCCAGAAATGAATATAGTTCAAACTGGAGCAGTTTGTTACAAAAATGTTTGTCTAGTCTGTTCATTTCCCTTCAAGAGAGTGGAGATGCCCCTGTTCTGCTGCCTCTGGGTTCCATAGAATAGACCCAATGTACATTCAAGATTCAATACATCAACCACTTCTCAAAAGCTTAAGATTAATTTTTTAGCCAAATTCTGAGGCAGAGATTCAAAGGTTGCTCCTGGTATTCAATATTTTGAAAGCTTGAGGGGGCCCGTTAAGAACTAGTCTGTCCCTTTTTATGAGGTGAATCATATAATATACTCAGTGCTAAGATTTTTTCTAAGGCTTTGAAAAATGAAACTCAGATTTCAAAATGACGAGGGAAAAATGCTTGTAAAAGCATCTATGGTATTCCTGCCATTTAAGAAAATGGAAGTCTGTAAATGGTCCAAATGTAGCAGAGAGGTTCCTGAAGATGCGGGAACTGGCAAGTTTGGAAATGGAGCCATTAGTTTTGAAATACATGAGAATGGACTTGGGGGGAATTTGTTGTGTCACAAGCTCCCAGTCTAATGACAGACCTGTCAGTCACACAGGTGTGGGGAATGAAGTTTTCAGACTGCATTGCTGTTACAGTATGCACCATACCTTTCTCTCTCTTTTCTTCTATCCTTCTCAGTAATGCACAGGAAATCAAGTAAGAGGTTCATTTTACATAAAATACCTAGAATGGTTGGTGTCATTATCTGAGAGGGACTGGGTTTTCCTCTTGTAATGCATTCATGGGTGTGATTTGCAGGAAGAAATGGCAGGTTCATCATGGAAGTAACCAACAAATGGGAATGTTCTGCTCATTCTTGGTTAGGTCAAGGTGAAAAGGTCAAAAGGAGGAGAACAGTTTAGTAACTAAGATAACACAAATCACTACTGCTACCACCAATTATAATAATGATAAAGGAAATAACAAGGGAAGAGAATACAACACCTCACCACCAGCCGACCGATAACTCGCCCCCCAGCCCGACCAAGCTCCGACCGATACCTCCTCCAACCCCGGAGTCTCCCAGCCCTTCCGGCTAACTCCCAGTTACATCCTGGGCATGACGTGCTGTGGTATGGAATACCTCTTTGGTCAGTTTGGGTCAGGTGTCCTGTCTCTGCTTCCCCCTGGCTTCCCCTCCTCCCTGGCAGAGCATGAGGCTCACAAAGTCCTTGGCCAAACCAAAACATCCTTGTTATCAGCTCTGTTCCCAAGCTGAAAGTCAAAACACTGCACTGCCCCAGCTACCAAGAAGGAGAAATATGACTGCTACTGCTGAACCCAGGACATTAGGTCAAGGTGAAAAGGTCAAAAGGAGGAGGAAAGAGGAGGATGGAGGGAGAAAATGAAGTATGTATTGCTGGTGACAGCATAGTTTAGTGGGGTGTTTATGATCTGGATATAAACACGTAGTTTCTGTAGATGAAGTAAAAGGTAACAGTGAGTTCACTTGGAAAAACACATGATTCCTGAACTGGCGGCACCTGACATTGCACCTAGCTTTAGGAAGATGCAGGCCTGGGCTAGGTGAAAAGGACCACTATGGAAATGGGATGGGTTTTGCTTAAGGCACAAGCTGTGTTGCTCTTGTCAACCTGTGCTTGCCAAGAAAAGTCAAGATTCATAGATACCCTGTGCTGTGCTTAGCAATAAAATTGTCAGAGTAATTCCTACTTCATGCTGGCCTTCCTTTATCCCTCACCACATCCAGCCCTGTTTCTCCAAAAAGTAGCAAAAAAAAAACCCAAACGAACACATAGGAAGCATTAGTACTTGCAGTATTACAGAAGCATGACTGTTAAGCAGATTCAAATATGAAATAAACCCCATTTTGTATGCAATAGAAATAAAATTGGCTGAATGGCATTTAAGAGAGGTTGGGCACAGAGAGCTGATACCGAACATGACCTAGAAAGAGAGTCAGAGATATTTTGCAGTGGCTTAGTGTGACTTGTGCGCTTGCCCAAAGCTCTTGTAGGTGGTAGGAGCTATCTGGTACTTCACATAATATCAAGATTTTAAACTTGTTCTATGCAAACTTAAAGCTCTTTCTTAATTCATCTATTCTTTCTCTCCTTTCATCCATCTTTACACTGCTTGTCAGACCTTTACATCCCCAGTGGCTTCAGTTCTGCAGTGATAACATCTCAGTGGTTTGCTCATGTTACAGTTGAGTTCATATCTATTACAGCATTTTCCCCAGGTCCACCTGGAGCCTGCTGTGATCAGCGGGCTGGGCTCTTATTCTGTGAAAAGTCTGAGTTTGTAAAGGACAGACAGGTATTTTTCTACAGTAAGACAAAATTGGATGATGTAGAAGCTGCAACATCCATGTATTACCAGTTCAATCTACAAAGCATCACAGTGAAAGCTTGATAGTTCTTTTCTGTTGTGTAAGTTAGAGGTGTTGAAGATGGGATGATAGGAACTGTGGAATACCTGATTGAAAAATAATTACCTCTGAAAGAAGCAAATTAAATAATCCTGTACTCACTGAACAGCGATACTTTGTTTTGTCTCTTAGTTTTGATGATTCTATGTGTGCGAGAGAAACATTTAAGTGAATGTTTAGAATTCTTTCACCTTTTGTCACACCTACATGCAGATTCAACTCTGGAATGCTGGACTTTCAGATCATTGACACAGACTCTCTGGCCTATCAGAGGCTGCATTTAGGTGGACCAGTAGAAAGGAATGCAATCTTCTTCCAGCTTTTGCAATGGTCTCTGCAAAAGAACTAGTGCTTTATCTATGACTTCTATACATGTAGTTCTCTTGGTTATGGAAATAAACCATCCAATTTGTTCCCTTTCTTTTTCTTAAGTTACTGGTGCCTGGATAGACTGAGAAAAGCTTATGGTGGTTCTTAAATGGGTCATAACCCTATAAGCCATAACTTCTCCTGGCAACTTGTTCCAGTATCTCACCACCCTCATAGTGAAGGTGAGTTGATGTCTTTGATGAGCAGCCTCGTGTAGTGGAGGGTGTACCTGCCCATGGCAGGGGGGCTGGAACTAGATGATCCTTAAGGTCCCTTCCAATCCAAACCATTCTATGATTCTATGTTTCCATCCTGGAATGCCTGAGCAATAATGTTGTCTTAACTGATGGTTGTGATGGTTAAGAGCCCTTTTTGCATTTGTCTCAAAATAACTCAAAAGATAGAAGGAATAGAAAGGTAGCTAGCTGTCACTTGGGCAAAAGGCCAAAGTCAGAGCAGTGATCCTGCTCCACTGAAGTGGGGGATGCTTTCCTGGATTGTCTGCCCCTAGGCCGTGAAGATTAATTGCCCAGGCAACAAACTGCCCTGAGACAGCACCACAAATACAGCTGTGCCTGCCAGGGCACAACCTGAACTGGGGCTGGGGTTTACCTGATACCCCTGTGGATGAGTCTTACCTGTGGGAGGGGTCCAGGAGACCTTGACCCTATAAAAAGACAGCCGTCCAGTAGCTGTGTGGTGGATTTCTTTATACTGGGTTTCAGTGAATTTGCTGGTTGTAGGCATCACAAGGACTACAACTGAAAGGTTTTCTATTTGCTGACCAAGAAGGCATCACTGGATCCATGGTGTGGTGAGCTCGTTTGTTTTCCTTCTTTCTTACCCTTCTCTTTTTCTAGTTTGTGCTTTTTATAAGAATAAGAACCTGCCAAGATTTTTGTTCCTCCTGGCACAGTTTTAGGGAAGTTTACAATAAATTTAATTGTGGTTTCTTTTTCCAACCTCTGGAGAGCATGTGTCTTCTCTCTTGAACCACGCAGAGTATGGTAAAAGATCATGTCCCCAACACCCGAAGTGTGGGATGGAACATGTATGTATTAGGGCAGATACAGGCTCATGGTAAACAAGTCAGGGCAGATACAGGGTAGTGGTAAAGAAGTACATCACTTCTCTGTGAAACTAGATACACTCGTGTATGTTAGCAGGGTGTCAGTGACTCCTGCTCCTTCACTCTCTGACATTCCTGGCTTAGCATTTCTGCTGCTGTTGTGGTTGTTGCTAGCTGGGAAACTGAAGTTTTACAGTGCATCAGGAGAAAAGGCCAGGAAGAGACACTAGCCAGCTTCCAAAAATTTTGCAGAAGAAATAGGCCATTTGATAATTTCCATCCATTTGTCTCTCTTCACTCTAAAGTATGAAGAGGCTTAGGGCTCCTTTAATAAGTTGAGGGTTTAACCTCAATTTTTCCTTTCACTTTCTTTCATGATGTATGTGAGTTACCTGCTCAGTGTCTGCTGAGCAGCTTCATATTCTGAGTAGCCAGGTCTCCCATTTCCTTCCACAGAGGACCTACATTTTCCCCAGTCTTCCTTTTATTACTGATGTACCTATAGAAGCTTTTCTTGTTGGCCCTGAAGCCCCTGGCCGTCTTTAATTCTGTCATGGCTTTAGTTTTCCTGACCTGATCCCTGGCTGTTTGGACAATTTCCCTGCATTCCTCCCAATCTACCTGCAACTTGCAGGCATGTGCACATTTCAAATTCTATTTGTTTTTTCCCATGCTGTGTGTATTTTCATAGAGGCATTTAAGTTTGGCCCCTATGAAGCCTATTTGCTGGCTGGAGTAGCAGGAATTCCTTTGTGCTGCTGTTCAGGTGCTCTCCTGCTGACCTGCAATCCCTCTCCAGGCTCTGCAGTTCTTGCTGGCCCTAGCATCAAACTGGTTCACAAATTCTTGTAATGCACCCAGCATAATGTGGTTCCTCTGTGGAACTGCAGCCCTGTTTCTCTGATCCGACAGCAGCTTGTATGAATGATGGTTTTTTTAAATTATGCCTTTACCTTTTCTTAATATGAACTAGATTTGTCCTGAACAACAGTGAAGTGCTTCACAAGTGCAAATTGGGGATGTTTACACATGGTAAAGACTGTATAAAACTCACAGGATACATAGACCCTTGTATATTGAAAAATCTATAGATGAGGTACGTTGCATATAGGTGCCTTCTGTTCTGGGGTACCTTACACAAAAACATGTAAGGTTGTTCTCTGAATGTTTCCCAGGTTTGAGTTTATATTCACTTTTACACTGACTGAAAGGAACCAGTATTTAATCTGACTTCTATACATGTGGCTGGTTTGGTTATGGAAATACTCTGTGAGCAGATGCATCAGTCCCCAATTGCCCTTGAAAAGTATTGGCTCAGAAAAGAGATTTTGCATACAAGTGACAATATAAAAGCATTGAAATCTTTCAGTTGGCTTAAAATGAAGCTCACTGCCTGGGACGTTTCACAGCTGCCTCCCTGCTAGTTTATAGGCCCATGAAAGAGATGAAGAATAAGAATCCAGGTTCTTAATGTCTCCAGAAGCAGGTTTGCTTGTTGTTAGTTGGCCTATCACCTACTGCAAACAGAGCTTCTAATGCCATGTGTGTAGGAGGCAACATTAGCCACCAGAGCTGACACCATTGCTCAATAAATGCCAGCAGGATAAGGAGAGGTGAGGGATTCTTTGGAGGAGGTGTTGATGTTTCCTAGGCAATGCTGAGAAAAGTGTGCTGCCTCTAATTGGCTCCACCACAAATATTTACAGCTGTGAAAAGAAGTTTGCTGATCCAATGATGGTAGCCATGGTGGCCATCTTTTTAGCTGCTATTGTGATGGTGAGAAACACGAATAGGTTGCAAAAATCCCTCACTGGCTTTATAGGAAGAACATTTACTGACCCGAATGCGGAAGCCAATTAAGCCCTAAAGCTTCTGTGTGTTTCTGTTATACCTTGCCATTCATCCTGTTTGTTAGCAAAATAAAAAAAAACAAACCAACCAACAAACCCATGGTGAGAGGCTACAAAAAATCCAGGGCTTGTTACCATTTATGTTGTTTGTATGTGATATAGATATATTATTACATGAGTTTGAATTCTCATGCTGGCAGTGTTGTTTGCAGACCTTTGTACTTAATCAACCCCTTAAAGCAGAAATATTGGTGTGATATATTTTAATATTTGTTCTGAAATTGACTATGAGTTTGCATGTGTACTCACTTTTGACAGGAGGAAAGAAAGAGGGCTGAGCAGGCTCTTCTCGGTGGTGTCCAGCAACATGAAAAGATGCAGTGGGCACAAACAGAAATACTGGAAATATCTTTTAAACATAAGAAAAACTTTCTTACTGTAAGGGCAGTCTAAGACCGTAACAGGTTGTCCAGAGAAGTTGTGGAGTCCCCATCCTTGGAGATACTAAAAACCTTACCGAATGCAGTCCTGGGTCACCTGCTGTAAACCTGCTTGAGCAGAGTGGCTGGATTTATCAAGGGACCCTGAAAACCTCAACTATCCTGCAGTTCTTTGAACATGCCATAAATCCTGTAATTTCTATTAGCATTGTGTGTTTTGTGCAACATGTATCTCACTTTAAATAATGGATCTGAAGTCCCACAGAAAGAGCCTGCAGGCAGAGAAGGTACATTTACTTGGTATTACACACTGACATCTTGCACAGGTGATGGACTTCATAATCCCCAAGTTTGTGTACTGTGGTGCTCCAGTCTGCACACTCATGAGTTGAATGGGAGTTAGAATACGTCTGGCACATTTTTTTTTTCAGGAAGTGAAAATGGTTATCCATGAAAACTTTAGTCAGAACACTGCCTGTTGGTATTGTGTGCTCTAATGGAAGAAGGTATGAAAATGACTTGAGCTGCTTTCAAGACTGAAATAATGCTATGTTTTTCAATAGATGAATGTCCCCAGAGGTTGCTATTCATTCTAAGCTTCAGACTTTAGCAAAATACCTTTTTTCTTCTTCTTTTTTTTTTTCCTCCATTGAAAACCTAGGCTGCAGAATCATTTAGTGAGCTTAAAAGCCCTACTTGCTAGTCAAGAACCATTAGCATGAATGTTTGCATGAGCTTGTCGTAGGCACTGCAATAGGCAAAACTTCACATTGACATTTAGTGCTGAATGTATTTCTTTTCAATCAAGATAAAATGTGGGCTGCTGAATTTTGCTGATATTTGTTCAACATTTTTCACCCAATTCTTGAAAGTGGCTTATGAATGCACAGTGAATTATTAACATATGTTTATTTCCAATTTAGCTCAAGAAATTTCTCACAAGGTTTGTGTCTTCTTTCTTAATGTAGTTCTTGGATGTTCTTTACTTCTTATAGTTACTGCTGTCAGTGTTGAATCTTAAGCTGAGAATGATGCTGCCAATGACTTGATATGTGGCATAACGTGGCCATTTATGTGGGAATTTTCTGTAAATATGTAATGTAGTCTCAGAGAGTAAATTAAGGATTAAGTTTATGTGTTGGTTTTGTATGTCAGCTATTTGTCAGGAGAGAATTCCACTGTGATTTAGTATGCATGTATTTTGGGAAACTGTGGATTAGGCTTTAATTAATGATGAATTATTCAAAAGATGCATGTGTAAGTAAATACTATTTTGGTGTTGACCCAGTGCATGGACAAACAAGATAGGTATCTCATTGACAAATTAACAATTTTTTTCTCAATTTTTTAGAGTTCTATTAAGCTATTAGTATGTATTACATTACCATTGAAAGACTTGCACATTTTCTAACAAAACCATGATTTTATCTCAACAATGAGGCACTACATTTAGTTGCAAGAATTTATTCTGTCCTTTGTCTCTTGTGCCATGTACTCTGTTGGTAGCAAGCAGAGGGCTTTAGAAACATAAAAACCTATTATTTTATTTCAGTTTTCTTGTGTTCTTTTTTACAAACTCTGTTCTATATTCTAGACGTTTTGTTCCTCTGCCTTGGATTTATTCTATACCATCCCAAATCAAGGCTCACATGATACTTTGGACTGGAGGATCTCCAAATGACTCTTTGCTGGAAGCACTAACCTTTCCTGTGTAAATGAAGATAGAAACAACTTTGACTCAAAGGAAGACACATCTTGATGCAATCTTTGGTCTAAAATCAGGTGCTGTACTTCCTGGTGCTGTGAGAACGAGACATCATCTTTCTCAGGTGTCTTTGGTGGTGTATTCATTACAGAGAAGTGAGGGCTGTCCCACCTGCCTGCTAAAGGTGATCCCCACTTGGTCCCATTTTATTTGCTCTGGCTGTGATATTTAAATGGTGTTCAGTAATCCCCAATTTTGTTGAAATGTCTGCCAACATGTTCAACAGCTTCCCTGACTTGATGGCTACAAGAAGATGTGTGAGGCTATATAAGCAGAATACGTGAGCAGTAGTGCATCACTTACTCTTTTTTTCCTGGCATATGTGACAACTGATTTATGGTACTGAGCTGGGGTCTACTATCTGCTGCCTTTTTAGGTAATACCTGTTTTAGAGACATACATGAGAGGTTCTAGCTTTAACAGCATTGTATCAGGCTGCCTTTCCACCCAACCAAGTCATTATTCATTCACCTATTCCTCAGTGTGCCCTTGTGTCATGTTTTGGTGTTATTAGTTCATGTCTTGCACACCCAGACAAGCTTTATCAGATCCAATTTCCTTTGCTCCTTTTTCTTCTAATTGGTTAGCTGCATCACTTTCTCCATAGTAATTTCTTAGATCTGTTTCAATTTTGCACCAATTTCTTTCAAATATATATTGTTCTGTGCATTGCATAAAGTTTCACTGATCTCAGTCTTAATTTTTAATACGTATTGTTACTTAACACTGCTTCCTTTTGTCAGTTAACACTTTGCACCAGCAGGCAGTCACTTGTCTGCTTTTGAACTTTTTACTCCATTCTACTGCTTTTAGTTTTGGTTGGTTGGTTTTGTTTTTTCCTAGTCTGTAGCGGCCTCAGTGTCGTACCACAGCAGCATGCTGTTTGAGATTTTTCCTATCCATGGCTGCCATGTTTGTATTTTCCCCATATTTGTATGAGGTCAGGTCTGTCTGGCAAGCCCAGATAGACTCCAAGTGAAAAGTAATGCTGTGGGTGATAATTTCTTCCAGCTCTATAACCACACCTGACAATTCTGCAGCTCTGCAATTCTACCTGTGTTGAGTAATATTTTCAGCAGTACCTAGATTGCCCTGAAAAGTAATTCATGGTAGTGACACTATAAAGGGGGCAACGCTCAGCAAGTGACCACAGCCAGGATTCTTGAGCATTTTGTTCCTCTTTATAGTGAGATTTCTAAGTAGCTCAATACAGACTTAGCAAATTCAGTTGTTTGTGTAGTTTGTTGGGGTTTCTTGGCTCCTATTTGAGAATATGATCCACACAGACTGTCTCACTAATCCTTTCAGTGGATCAGATCTACTATCTTGGGCACATTCAGAAAGGAAAAAAACAGATGTTGAACTGAACATTAGCCAGCAGTCATGATGCAGAGGTATTTTCTCAAATCTGCTTAAAATATTTAGGATGGCTTCTTTTCATAATTTCAGCTGTCATATAGTGTTGAGACTATTCTGAGTGATGTCTTTTTATTACAAAAGATTGGTGCAAGGCCTTTTTGTCTCATCCAAATAGTTTGCCACCTGCTACACAATCTATTCTCATTGCCACTTTTCCTCAGGTGTCCCTCTGTTCCCCAACAGTCTTGAAGAATGAGAAGATGGCAAATAATGCTATGGGAGTTTGCCATTGTCTTTTTTATTCTTCTGGCACATATTTTAAAAGTGGAGAGCTGCGTCAGCATCTGTCCAGAAACCTGATATACACAGGTACTTTTCCTGTTGTAGATACACTGTTTGTTTGTAGTAATGGTGATAGGTGGGAGAAGGAAAGCAACAGAGAGATAAAAGTTTTCACATGTTGCAAATTCACGCTTCTGTTGTGGCTAAGTTGTAATTTTCATCTTGAATTTAGATGTGCTAGGAGCCTCTGAAAACTCACTGAGGTAAAGGCCACATGGAGCGGTAGTGGAATTTAATAGTGCATATAAGAATTCTAATAAACTCTGATGCCAATCCTGAATGATTGAGTTTGATCACCTCATCTCACAACGCCAGAGCTTCTCTGTCTTTATTTATAAGGCAGACAAATAAATACACTTCAATGCACACTTGGCACTTACTAGCCTTTCAAACAAAGCAATCTCATAAAATAATATCTTTTTTCTCCCTCCCTCCCCCCTGAGATCTCGATAGTTGTGCAGTCAAAATTAAAACTTGTTGTGGAATTTCAGGAAGCTAAGACAAAAGATGTTGAAAAGACAATACCAAGTAGAGGCATTCTACGGTGAGAAGGCTTCGCAATAGGGTATTGCTTCCTGCACTGAAGTAATCCTGAAAACCAGTGAAAGGAACATGTTTTATGAACCACTAGAAAGAAATCAATACAACAAGTCAGTGTGCAAAATCAATTTTTTTCTGACTTGGCTATTAAAGAAAGGCCAACAATAATATTATTTGAAAGAGAACACTGTATGAATAGTGCATGAAGAGATTGGATTTTTCACTTAATGAAACCAAATTGTGTTGCTGCTGCCTGCAGCTGAATTAGCACAAACACACATGAAAAAGACATGGTAGTAGGAGAATGCAGAACAATGTCTGGAGTTTTTTAGAAGACAATGAGCTTTGGATCAGATACTTAAAAACAGCCATCATGGAGTATGTATGACTTCTTTAGCATGCTAAGAACAGTGATGTATACCAGGTCTTGGTGTTATCTTTGGTTCTTCCCCTTCTGTGCCCAGCGAGTTTGAGTTGGGTTGCAGAGCTCTGCACAGATGCAGTGTAATTATTTCATTTGTGAATCATTTAGTCTCATCGTTCAGACTAATCATCTCTCCAGCTATTTATAGTCTGCAGCTGCCAACTGGAAAATCAGCAAACATGGAAACAGTAGAGAGAAAAAAAAAAAAAAGATTAAGGCCCTGTAGACTGCAATTGAATGTTTTAACTGACCTTGAGACAGTTTAACTTACTGTAAGACGGAGGTAGCTATTCCTCCTGAAGCACAGTTTCCTTGCCAAACAAGAGGTTTGTACAAAAAACAAGAATCCCTACCCCAAAATGCAGGTTTTAAGTTATTGGCCTTTTGCTACTATATATTTATATATTTCCTTACATTTTTCATGTGAATCTTCATTTAAAGATAATCTCTACTAATATGAAAAGAATCTCATGGAGCAGCAGTAATTAAAGAATTTTCCCCTATCAGCGTAGCTGATGAAAATGTAAAAGCACTTCTTTTTTTCTTTTTTTTTTCCTTCTTCTGACTGTTTCAACACTAGTCATTGTGCTCAGAAAGAAGGTAAATGGATTTATACAGAAGTACTAGATCAAAATGCCTTGCATGCTACATCCTCCAAAAGAAATAGGAAGAGAATGGTTCTGCTTTTAGCTGTGAGAATGTAATTTCAGGACCAAGGCCTGAAAATTACAGGTTTTACCTCTAGGAATTCAGACTATTGATTTTGAAAGTTAACTTTTTTGTTTTCTGAACCATGATGGTGCTGCATTGCTAGTCTCTGTGTCTGTCTTCCTTGACAAGTTTTAGAATCTCTGCCATATGCACTAAATGAGCATTATTTCTTCTTATATCTAACCTTTGCTTCCACAACTGGGAGAGACAATAATTAATATTATTTCTAGTGTTCATGTCTGTGCTTGAACAACTAGCAAAGGAGTCGGATCCAGTCTCCTTTCTTTGACTCTCCATTCATTTCGCTGCTGTGTGACAAGGCAAGAAATAACCAAATCTGCACATACTTGCAGTTAGTATGTAAGTCCAAAACTGTTAAGATCTTCTAGAACCTTCTTTTTCCTTACTGGCACAGTGACTTGCAGTGGGGTTTAGATCCCTTCTTTTTTTTTTTTTTTTTTTTCCAGATGAGGTGGATAAGACTAAGACTGGGGCAGAGATTTCTGTGAAAAATCCTCTTAAAGGCTGTCCCAGAGTGGAGATATGCCTGCAATAAGTACACTCTTGAGGTGATGTTTTACTTAAAGCAGAATTACTGTTGCAGACATCTGATGAATGGATCTGTCCCCAGCTTCTCCCAAAGGGCAGTAGGCTGGACTTATTACCAGTCAATGATGCGGGCAGCTTCAGGTGTCTGGTGACATCGCCACCATTTCTGTTTTTATGTTGAGACATTACCACCAGTTTGCTGAGTCAAAACAGCAGGGAGGCGAGCCATACTCATCTGAAATGCTGTGAAAGGCAAAATCTTGAACTCAGCCTTCTAACCTGGCCCTTTTCACTGTTGCTGGTCACACTTCTGTTTCTACAAGGTGTCTGTTGATGCTGGGCTGAATCAGTCAAAGGCTTTCTAGGCACTGAGTAATGACTTCCTGCCTCACTGCTGGGCAGGGGAAAGTCAATTACTTCAACTGAAAATTCAATGCTGTGTTGCAACATTAACTACGTTCTTCTTTCACTTAATTGTTGTCTGGTAGTTGTCACAATTCTTGAGCTCAGTGACCTGAATATGGGACATAGAAAGGTAGAATCTATTTATCCTGAATTTATAAAATTAAAAGGTAAATGCCAACTTTTAAGCTCAGTTTAGAGCCAGGGAAGCAAATATAGGGCTTTGTGGTTTTTGAGAAGGAAGTTTCTCAGTTTAAGACAGGGAATTTTGGAGAAATGAAACAAATCTTTAGAGGTAGCTGTATTTTCCAGTGACTATAAAAAAAAAGTCTGCAGTGAACAACTTAATAAAAAGTAATAAATCAGCTATGCTGATTTTTCCTTGCTGATTATGTCTGAATCCTTCAGGTAAAGCACATGGGAAAAGATCAACCTGTGGAGGAATAGCTTTTTGCTTAAACTGTACTTGGTAGTTAGTAGAGATATGCATGTCTTTTATTCATCCTTTTTTCCCAGACCAAAGGCAGACATAGTTTTATCTACTCTTTCTGCAGACCAAGACCAAGGGAATATCGTAGTAGGCGAAGGCGGTAGGTTTGACCAAACTCATTCCCCTTTGTGTATGAACATAGAATAAGATCTACAAGCTTTAAAGATACTCTCAAACTTTTTCTTCTAGTAGTGGTACTCAGTAGACTGCTGCTTCATTCATGGCAAGGAGCTGTTCTAGATGAAAGATAAAAATTAATCAGCAGAATTATTAATTTTAATATAAATTAACAAATAACATTTTAAACTTGACAAAAATAAAAAGTACTAAAAATCAACAACTGCAAACTGTATACTTCCAAAGGCACTGCGGCTTTCACATAGTCATGTTGCTGTGCCAACTTATCAGGCTGTTGAAGTGTCATGGTTTAAACCCTAGCCAGACAGCTTGTTCACTCACTCCCAGTGAGTGGTGCCAGGCTGAGAGCAATCGAGCCCCCCCCCCCGGGCTCTCCCCTTCCCCTCTCCCAGAGGAACAGGGAGGAGGATCGAAAGAGTGCAACTCCTACGGGTTGAGACAAGAACAGTCCAGCAACCAATGTACAACACAAATCACCACCCCTACTATCAAATACAACAATGATAAGAGAAAACAACAAGGGAAGAGAATACAATACCACCGGCCAAGAAACGAGTCCCACCCCGAAGCCCATGTCCTTCCGGGTAACTCCCAGTTACCCCCCACACCGGGCATGACGTGCTGTGGTATGGAATACCTCCCTGGCTAGCCTGGGTCAGGCACCCCGTCTCTGCTTCCTCACGGCTTCCCCTCCTCCCTGGCAGATCATGAGCCTCACAAAGTCCTTGGTCAGGGTAAACATCACTTAGCAACAACCAAAAACATCGGCTTCACCAACACTGTTCCCAGGCTGGAAGTCAAACCACAGCACTGCACCGGCTACCTCGAAGGAGAAACATGACTGCTACTGCTGAACCCAGGACATGAAGATACTGATATATATTCTTTATGGATTCTTTAACAGTCTGTGAAAGACTTATCAGCATCATCAATGATTTCTAGGGTATGATTTTTCTCACCTTAGGGTAGATGAAGAATACTGACCAAGAAAATCACTCTCTAAATATTTCACTATAAATTCACTAGCCGTCCAGTTAGTTGCTCAACATACTGTGAAAGAAGAGTTAGCAGCATTCATGTTTATTGCAGAAGAGTTGGGATAAAGGACATGTACATGTGTCCCTCAGCTATACAGCAAGCCAAGCACTGATTATTGTTTAGTTGAAGAAAAGTAAAATAAGTTAACGATTAATTACAGGGGGGGACAAAAGTTAATGTATGAGAACTTGGAAAAATTACAGTCTAGCCCTTAACTTGAGTGATCAGTCCACCCATTCTGCGGCTGATGTTGTTTGCTGTTATGCTGGCTCTTTAACATGAGGCTTACAAGCTAACAGTCTTCCTCATGGCTTTCCAAAATTTTATTTTTATTAGTATAATTGTCAGTGGTTTCTGTGGTATTTTCTTGCTTCTATCTTGTCACTTTAGTTTGGTTTCTTTAGCAGCCAGCTCTATCTTTGCCTCCAGGGATGCTGAGAAACTGCAAGGAAAAAAAAATGGGAAGGAGTTCTACTGATAGAAGCTTTCTGAGGAATTAGATGCCAGGGTAGATTCTGGTCTTTGTGAGGCATGCAGGAAGGTTTACAGACAGAAAGTGGATATGGAGAATCTCAGCAGAACTCCAATGAGTTATATATGTCCATGCTGCAGTTTCCTCAGTGCAACTGAATAGTCTCTCAGATTTATGAGGCAAGAAAAACATAGGGGAAAACAGCATACTTGAATATCACTAATCTCCAGTTAGTCATCTCAACAACCTTATTTAGGTTGTCAGTTGAGCCAGGGGCTTAAACTTTCAGAGCTGTTGCTGAGCCCCATATTCAGCACTGGTGAGACCACGCCTTGAGTACCATGTTTGCTTTTGGGCACCTTGCTGCAAGAAAGACATTGAATTGCTGGAGCATGTCCAGAGAAGGGCAGTGAAGCTGACAAATGGTTTAGAGCACAAGTCTTATGAGAAGCAGTTGAGGAAACTGGGGTAGTGTAGTCTGGATGAAAGGAGGCTGAGGGCAGTCCTTATTGCTCCCTACAACTACCTGAAAGGAGGTTGTATCAAGGTGGAGGTCACTCTCCTCTCTAAAGTAACAAGCAATAGGATAGTGGCATGTGTCAATACCTATCTCCTTCAGCACCGGGGTATTTTTCTTGTATATGAGCAGAATCTGTTTATTTCTGGAAAATTCACACTGGTGTTTCTTCCACAAACTGATGGAGTTGTGGTTGTATGCTTCAGGTAGCTGTGGATTCATGTCTTTCACATATATATCATAAGGGATGAAAATAGTCTTGGCCAACATCAGACACTTGACTCTGAGCCTTTTACACCAAACCCCCTTCGTCACAAATTAAAAACTTAGCCAACAGCCCTAAAGACTTCACATTTGTTGAAAATAATGCTCCTTCCTTTTCACTCTTTATCTCCTTGCCTTGTACATGAACAAACAAAGCGCTTTGAAGTGTGTCCTTCCCTAACGCAGCAAAGATGATGTTGAAGAATTGGAAAATGAGATGACAACAGATATCTTCAGGGAAGACTTGAAAGGCTCCTTGTAACTGTATACACAGTTCCTGGCATCATGCTATATAATTGCATAAATTTGTCTTAAACTGATGTTAAGTCATGCTTTTTAGGAATAGAATATTTTAACATTTCAGGACACAGCTATTATTCATGTTGTTGTTTGACAAGTGACTGCAAATAATATCACTTTCATCAAGTTGTCAAGTTTTGGGTTTTTTTCTGAATAGCAGAATCCAAGCTAAGTTGAAGCATTATCCAGAGAAACCTACAGTCTGACTGTTCTACAGTCCTGTCCTCTGATATTGTGTCCCATGTCTTTCTAAGGTTTTCATTTGGCAATGGCAAAAAAGGTGAGCTAAGCAATTCAAATGTGTAAAAGAAATAAATGCTTTATGTAAATACCACTATGACAGGGATAAAGCAGAATCAAAAATTTTATTATGAAGTAGACAGTAGGTGAAGAACTGAAGTCTCTAGATGATATTTTCTGATTATTATCTTTTGGTAATGATCCCTGGTTAAAGATTGTTTAGGAAAATGGATTAACTTGATGGTCACTTCAGATTTTTATCTCTTGAATAGTTTAATTGAATTATTAAAAGTTTTCCTAAGGTGACAATCACACTTAATGTGTGGAGAAAGGAGCTGAAGAATGAATGTTTCAACACTGTGTATTCACATAGCATCACCCAGAGATACTTGATATCCCACCAAACTTGCAGCCCATGTGAAAATGTGCCTTACTTAAATGTATGTTACTCTGAGGCCTTGCTGAATAGTTGAAATTTACTGCAGTTTAGTTATGGTTCAGAAATATTTGCAAACATATGAAGGACACCTGAGCTTATTTAAGACTAATGCATTGCACTTTCCCCTGCATTCCAGCTGAAGCTCTTGGAATGCTTGACAAACCATTATGAATTAAACATATACTGTTGTTTGACATTAATGTTGTGAGTTAGGTAGGCACTTCAGATCTGATCTTACTCAGCTGGAGTAAAATGGCTTTTTGTCTGCCAAAGAGAAGGTATGTTGATTTTTGCATGCTGAGGATCTGATCTCAGTGGAAGAGCTGCTACATGGAGGGGTCCACAATTTTTTTTACAGAAAGGTCTTCTGCAAACTCAAAATCCCAGTTGGCCTGCATGACAGGAGTTTGAAAACAAAGACAGAAGTTCGATAAGAGTTTGTATGAAAGAAGTTTGAAAGTATGGAGTGTCACTTTGTCTATACCTCTGTCCTCTCGTCAGTTAAGCCAAGGATAAGCAGAAAGCAAGAGGAAAAATTGGAAGATCAGTGTTTAAATATGCATGGGCTTCAGTGGAAACAGGACTTCATCCAATTGTGTAAAATTGATAGTATTTCTTGGTGCCATTTTCTGGTTCTTTTTCATGGAATTTAAGGCCTGCTGAGGTTTTTTAAGTCCATTTACTGAAGCTTACTATAATTGTTCCCTCTCCTTTCCCAAAAGTCATTTGAAAACTAAAGGCTCTGTGTCTGACACCCACTGTCCAAAATGATAATGGGACTCAAATAATAGGTTTGTTTGCAATCACAGATCTTACTATGGTTAATGCATCAAACCATTGCTGGAAATTGCCTTAATACTATTTAAGTACTCTTCAAAGCAAAGGCACATAGACTGACAATTAAGAGGCTTCTTTTTCTTTATACATCTTTGGATATGTATTTATCTAACTTCAGTGAAAAAGGCTCAGTGGATTTGCTTTTCTCATCCAAGCATGCATTGTGAGCTAAATAAAAATTCCTCTGGGAAAACATCTCTTGATAATTGTGAAAGATGAGTTTGTCTTGTAAAGATACTAGCACTGTAAACATGGCTATAAATGTTTGATATGTGATACTATTAAAGAATAACGTAATGTAAACCAACGTTATGACAGCATTTTTAATCTTGTTGCAGCCATATGGGAAATGTTCAGAATAAGGGATTGAAAAAGACCACACAAATTATTCCCAAATCATGGGTAGTACTTCTCAGTGATGACTTCTATGAACAAGTATATGAAAGGCATCATTACATCCAGTGGGAAAACAAATGCAAAAATTACTGGATATGTCACCAATTTGCTGAAGTGTATTCAGGGGAGGCCAATAAGAAACATGTCCATCAAACTGCAGGGATCTGAAAGGGAGGGAGACAAACTGTTCTCTCAGATCTACCCTTTTAGAGGTGATTACTGAAGCTGACTGAGTCATCTCCTTTAGGTACTGGGAGCTGCCCTGTGGTCTCCCTGGAGCCTTCTCTTCTCCAAGCTGAACACTCACAGCTCCCTCAGCCTGTATCCATAGTAGAGGTGCTCCAGCACTTTAATTATCTTTGTGGCCTCCTCTACACTTGCTCCAACAAGTCCATGTTCCTGTTGTGGTGGAGCTCCAGAGCTGAATGCTGTACTCCGGGTCGGGTATCATTAGAGAGAAGTAGAGGGGGAGAAATTCCTCCCTATTAATCATCACATGGACCATATTTCAGATACTGGCTTCAATGGCTCAGTGCTCTGATTACTTGTGTGTTAACACAGCATGGACATGCAATAAGATTTAGGCTTTACTTACCCTGGAAACCAAAGTCAGCCTATTTGTGCTGTTCATACAGAAACTGGACTTACATTCACTTTGCTCTATGGATATTCTCTGCATGTTATTTCAACAACACAAGTGCTTGTTAGTATTACAGCAGGCGAATGCAATCTGTCTCCATGCAAGAAGCTAGCAGAACAAGCAATGAAAGAAAATAGCAGCATGGGGAAGAGCAAATAAGCCTGGGCACGCTGACCCCAACTTACTCACTCCATGCCTCTTCAAAGAGTACTTTCTTCTTCTCAAGTCACCACAGGAACAAGCATAAAATAACCCACTGCTCCAGCAACATAAAAGTCAAGTTGTTCCCTTCTTCTGCTTCTTTCCTTGCATGCTGCTTGGAAGAGAAAAGGAACTGGAACATTGCCAAGTGTCACTGCACGGAGGAGTCTTTAGCTGGCACAGAGCCTGCATAATGTTTCCTACAACCTGTTTATTCTGACAGAGTTGGTCTTCCCTAACCTTTACTATCAATAATTAGGCATCTAATCTAAGCCATTCATTATGTTCTCTCTGGATTTGATGCAAAGAGAGAGGTTGGATGAATTACCCTGTGGGGGTACTTGTCTCTGTGTGTTGACAACAGCATCAGCCTAAAAGACTGGCTTAGAATAGATAGCTAATTTTTTTGCAGCTATAATTAAATTAGGTGAATCCTAGCATCAGCTGCACTACTGTGACTGGCAGACTGACTAGGAGTAAGTCACAGATAGTTATGGTATTTTATATGCTCAACAGGAGACAGTATATTTCTGGGCTTGGGATTGCTGTGTACATCTTTAGCCCAACAAAATCTGGTTTAAGATATTTCTTTGTATGTGTTGTTTGGGGAAGCTAAGCACATGCACAAGCAAATCAGGAAACAATGGTGCATGGACTATGATCACATGAACATGTAAGATAAATGCACAGTGAGGTAGATTGAAAACTGGCTCAGCTGCTGGGATCAAAGGATTGTGATCAGCAGCATGAAGTTCCGTAGGAGGCAAGTCAATAATGCTGTACCACAGGTGTCAGTATTGGGACCAATGCCATGTAGTATTTTCACTAATAACACAGGTGATGGGACAGACAGCACCCTCAGCTAGTTCGGAGATAGTAAAATATTTGGGAGGAGTGTTTTACCAGATGGTTGTTCTGCCATTCAGGGATCCAGTTGGTCTGGAAAAATGGGCAGAGAGGAAATACTAATCCTGCAGCTGGGAGAAATAACCCAAATCACCAATACTGATGGGCTGGAAAGCAGCTTTGCAGAGAAGACCTTAGGGGTCCTTGTGGATACCAAGTTGACCATGAAATGATAGTGTGTCCTCAGAGCAAATAAAATTAAAAGTATCTTGGGCTTTATTATGAATAGCATCATCAGCAGGTTGAGGGAGGTGATCCTTCCCCTCTGTTCATCCCCAGTGAGACATATTGGGAGGGATGTTTCCAGTGCTGTGCTACTCAGTACGAAAGTGGCATGGACATACTAGAGTGAGTCCACTGCAGTTCCACAAAGTTGATAAAACATCTGTCTCACAAGGAAAGGCTGAGAGCTGGGACAGTTCAGCAGGAAGAGTGAAAGTTGGAGGGGGAGATCTTATCAATGTGTATAAATATTTGACTCTGGGAGGAGAAAATACGACATATTCAGGGTACTCTAAGCGGCACCAAGTGAAAGGACAAGAGGTAATGGGTGCAATCTGAAGTAGAGGAAATTACATTTGAACTTTTTTCCATAACATATTTACTCTGAGTTTTCAAGCACTGGAACAGGTTGCCCAGAGAAGATGTGTAGTTTCAGTCTTTGGAGACATTTAAAATACATCTGGGCAACCCACTGTAGTTCTGAGGAGATGAGCTTGACAGGATATTCTCCAGAAGTCCCTGACTACCTCAATCATTCTGTGTCATTCTCTGTGTATCAGATCTCCTTGCTACACGATGAATCAGCTGAATCTGATATTTTGCAAAAATTAAATGGTTTTGATGACAGTTTTATTGAGTGTAGTTTTACAGAGTGTAGACATCCACAGTTTCTTTTTGGATACTTTCTGATAATTTCTAACTTTTCAAAAGCAGTGTAGATGTGGAGGATGAGATCCTGATGCATATGTCACTAAACCTCACAAATATAATGCAAAAGAGATCAGAGATAGTTGTTAAAATAATAAACTTGTTAAAAATAAGGGATATTTTTATCAGGAAAGAAAACCACCACAGATTCCTTTCAGATCTAGAATCTGAAATCTAGAAATTATTTTCTGAATTCAGACACACTTCCAGAATACAATTCAAATATATTAAGCCTCTCCAGAATAAACAGAATAAAAATATTCATCCTGGAAAGTCAGATATTTGCAGATAGCACTTTGAAGTGTGGCTTCCTTAAATATTTGCAGTTGGTAGATGGTCAGTTAGACCTAAAGGTACTCCAGTCAATAATGAACATTGAAAGGAGTTGTTGATGCTGATTGTTTACCTTCTCCCCAGATACTTTTGTATTCTACAGTGTGGGTTAGCTACCTGAATAGGTATGGTGAATTACTTCAGAAGACATATTTCTCTTTCTGTTGCATGTAGAGTGTACCCTAAGACAGTAGAGGTGTAGATGTCTACAACTCACTTAATTCAGTGATTCATTTAAGACTGCAAAATCTGTCCAGAGGGACTTTTCCCCAGTAAATTTTAGGTCAAGACTAAGAACCACATCCTTTTCTAGTTCAGTCCTCAAGCATTCATTTAAATTCATTAAAGTCTAT